CAACTAAGTGATAAAAAAAGTTTTTTGTAGTATACAAGATGTTTGATTTGAGTAGATGTTTTTTTTTTCAAATTTTTTAAAATACTTCATTGTTACAGTTAAAAACAATTTGATAGATTAATTCGTTAAGTATTTCTTTTTTTATTGTGTAGAAAAATTAAAATAGTAAATTGAAATATTGTTTATTTTTCTGTTGAATATTTTTATTATTTTTTTTTGAAATCATGAAATAGAATGAAAAGAATAATAGAGAAGTTTAAGTTTTTTAGGAGATATGTTTGTTTTGTAGTTAGGATTTTTAGGAAATAGGTTTGTTAGGATGGTTTGTATATCAACAAATGGTGTTTCAATCAACAGCATCAACCCAACGACTACAATCATGAACTTTTTCTGTTTTTTTTTGTAACTTTTTTTCTGTGCAAAATAAATATGTTTGAAAATGAAAATATTTCTTTTATTTATTAAAACCCAAATGCCTTAATCGTTTCCATATGGTAAGATTTATGTGCCACAGAGAAAATGATCTCTTTGGTTTGATATAAGATTCAACAAGCACGAAAATAACTGAACATAAACATTTTATTGAAAGTCTAAAAGATCAATGTCAAAGAATATTGCCTTGTAATTATTTATATTTATCGAGATAATTACGAAGAGATAATGATCAATTGTTGCATAAATATTAGAATAATTGAGTTCAAAGATTAGTACCTTAAATAATTGTCTTCTTTTCAAGATAAACATTCATATTTAATCAAAACTTGCATAAAAATTAATCGTTTTTGCTTTAATAAAATTCTTCAAAGGATAATCTTTCAATCTACAAATAATAATTTGATGTTTATATTTTATACTATCATTTCGCGACTACTAGAATAAATTGGTATATTACTGAAATCTGAGTTTATTTTGATATATGAAAACTTTATCATATGCTATTAAAAGAGCGAATCTATTGATATGAATAATTCAATAAATATACAAACTAGCTTCAATAAATTTTTTCTTTCGTGAATGTTAATAGTTAGTGACATGTGATTATCAGCAATGGAAAGATGACTCAGCGGGAGATCTTTTCGATAATCTCTGAAAGAAAATCATTTTAGTACTAATCACTTTCATAAAAATTTTCTAATTGTATTTGAAAATGATTCAGCGTTTCGATAAAATTGTAATTTTCAGATTTACTTTTGATAGTAGAGTTCAGCTCTATAGTTCAAAACATAAATTGAACAATACATTATTGCCTTGATATTTTCTCTTACAGTTGCCGTAAACTGAACATCACTAACTACTACGATTTCTGAACTATTCATCTTACTTTAGCCTCTTTGTATTCTTACACTGACCATTACACCAGCGTTGGAACTAAACAGCAACTAGTCGAATGAATTTTATAGCCAAACTGTCAAAAATCGGGCGAAAATAACCGAGTATAAAAGTATTTGTTCATATACAATGATGGCAAAGAGAAATTAAATATTCATATGTAGACATCCGAACTGGAAACTAAAAGTTGGGAATAAAATTCTCACCATCATATTTCATAGTAAGATGCGTCGACTTTTTGAATTCGATATCAATACAAATTAGCTATCTAAATAAAATATGTTTTTTGCATTGTAGTTTAAAAAAAAAGCAATTTCATAACAAGTTTTATTCAAAAATGTAAATATTTATTTTTCTTGATTCAGCCAGCTGTCTAAGTAGAAAAAGAAAACGAATTATTGCATCTAAGTTGAATTAAACGATGCACGAGAAAAAAAATTGATGAAGTGCAAAAAAAACAACCAATCGTGTATAATCAATTCGAAGATAAGATATCTATTGAGTCTTTCTCAAAAACACTGTTCTGACTTGAAAATATCATAAAAACATCGTTTTTAGTAGCGAAAATTCTTTAGAGCAAACAACAATTTTGTAATGATGAACTAGCAAAAGTTTCGTCCTGCCTACTTGGATCTGTTCTAATTCTGCATGACACAATCGACATATAATATTTAATGAAAATCAACTCTTTCATTCATTGAACTAAATATTGCTTGCATGAGTTCGCAATTTATTATTAACTACTGTAAATGACTTTCTCATGAGATAAATCTTTCAACTGATAAATCAATTTTGAATAGAGATTATGTAAATCTAAAGGAGCTATGAATATTCTGAAAAAAGTTCGCGTCCTTAACTTATTACTGCCGTGGTACTACATTTTTATGGCGATGTAGAAGACATAGTACTACCGTAGTTATATTTTATGGCGATGTAGAAGACATAGTACTACCGTAGTTATATTTTATAATGGAAATAGTGGCAAGGCCTGAAAGTTTCACAAGAAAAACATATTCTTGTTAAGATTTGTCTCTATACAAAGTTCCAAGTCAAGATTGAAAAATCGATTTTTTTTTTCTGATTTTGCTGCACTTATTTAAAAGATACCGTCAAAATGCAGTATCTCCATAGTATTAAGCTGAAGACACAAACTTTTTTGACGGTATTCATAGCTCATATCGGTCTGGATAATTAACATAGTCTTAACTTAAGAGCAGCTTATCATTTGAAGAATATTTCTCATCAGATGTATATAAATAAACATAAAAAAACAAATCTCTTAATGTTCATCTAATTTTAAATATAGTTCGTTATCATCTATTAATATCATTTAATGATGATAATAAAAAAAAAAATAGAATGCGTAATGAAAGAGACGGCAAATAATTGAAGATGCTAAAAATAAAATTATTTCACGAGTTTATTATCAAAAAAAAAATATATATATATACATATAAATATTAATATTATTGCAAAAATGCATATAATTGAAAATGTACCCTGACAATGATTCTATTTTTGTGTATTTCGATTATGACCTTGAAAGAATGATGACATAATATTTTTCACATGCAGTTCATAAATGTCGATTTTTTAAAGTCTTTCTACCAGCGATTATCTAATTTATATTGTATTTTCTTTTGATTAGAATAATACAAAGCAAAATCAACATTCGAAAACAGTAAATATATTTTAGTAATAGTTTGAATACATGTTTTTAGTGTCAATCATGGAAGGAAGAAAAAAAAAATGATTGTGACAGTACTCTCAAACTGTGCATCTAATATTCTAATTAAAGTTAACTTCATATTGTATTAGGTCTCATTAACGTCACAATAATAGACAGAAGTAACCAATGCATGTTATTCTCAGTTTTTGTTTTCTTTTATAGAATAATGATTTGAATAGAAATGCGCTCATCATCTATTTCGGAAACTTTTTTTTTTGCATCGCATGTCTTTCTCTAGAGATTCAATGTAATTAATAAAAAAAAGATACAGTTCTATTTTTAGATAAATTTCCATTTTATTTTATTTTTATTGAACGTAAATTTATGATAATCACTGTAAGTGATTTAAATATTTGAAAGAATTATAATTATATTTATAAGAAATTGCAAAAATGCGTACAATTAAATGAGATATCATTGTTATATGTTATAACGAGAAAAAAAAAAGATAAGACTTTCTAGAACTTATGGAAAAATATGAATATTAGAAGATTTTATTAACTTATTTTGCCGTTCAGCTATTCTATTATTCATATTCAAGATCTATCATTTATATAAGTACACTTGAAAAATGTATCCTTCTATTGTTGATCATAAGTAATTAAATCGTTACAGACGTGCAACAATCATATCGATTCTTTCTTTTATAATTGACAATAGAAGATATTTAATGTAAGAAACTTATAGAAACAATAAAAGTTAGTTCTTAATTGTTGAAAACTTTATCCGACAAAAAGAAAAAAAAAGAAAAGGTTTAAGAAAAATATTATTCTTTTATGGTATAATAAAAAAAAAATGAGTTAAACGCACGATAGCCTTTCGTTGTTTGCATTTTCTTTTTCCTGTTGTAGTTTTTGTAGGACGACATTGTGTGTTCCGGAGCATCTCCGTAAAAACTGAAGAATAGCTAATGCTCATGTAATAGATTTTTTTTCAGTTCGAGTTTGATCAACTAATATGCCTATAGGTATTATGTCATTTTTTTTATGTATTATTTGTGTCGCAATTCATTTCCTGTAAAAAGAAGAAAAACATTTGATTTTTCTTTTTTGTTGACGAATACTTGTAGCACAATAGAGATAAGTAAATGTCTCTAGAATATGAAGCGTTTTTCTTTCTTCTTTGTTTTTGTTTTATATATATATATCTTGAAAACTAAAAAAATCGTCGTCATTCTTTAATTTTCTGTCATGAGAATAAGTACTAAAAGAAGAAAAAAAAAATCGATTTTTTTGCCTTTCTACATGATCGTTGTTTCGCATGCTGGACAATAAATTGAATTTGATCGAGCAACCAAATGACGACATTACAACTGTCTCTAGTGACCTCGATAAATGCATACTTATATACAACTTTTATTCACATTGTATGTTTACTTCCGTTGGGTCGTAACTTGCGTATGCGAGTGTGTGTGTGTACTATGCATGATTAAGAGAAATGACATAGCAACAACGAATAATGAATGAGACCAGCCGTTAGTAACATAACATAAGTGAATGAGAACTAAAGCAAACTATTCTTTTACTCTCAAATATTCGTTCTTTTCGTTTTTTATGATGAAAGTCGCCAGCCGTCAATTATGAGCGTAGCATAACATGCAAGTATGAAAGAGTAGCGAAATATTTGAGTAGCTTGCTCGTCTAAAGGCAAAGCATACCACTTCTATATGTATACATGGAAAATTAAAAAAATGATGGACATATAATAAATATATACATAAAAATGTATTGTAACTATAGTACGATTGAAAGTTAAAGAAAAGGAAGCTGTGCAAATTAAGTATTTCTTTTTGTTAGTTTTCAAGTGGTTTCATATATATATAAAGCGGTACTTTTTTTTCTTTCATTCTATTGATCATACTGTTTGTTGATCTTCAATACAGTTTAAAACATAACGATATACCGTACGCATACACATTATTTATTGTAGATATTATCAAACAATGTTATCAAAAGGATATCAACGTCATCATGCGCTCTTAAAAACATCAAAATTCTCAGATCAATCAAAACAATCAACTTCAGGTACTTTATCACCTGATACAATAGCCACAACATCAAGTGGCTATTCAACAGGTGATTCATCGATTTCGACAACTATGATTTCAACATCGAAAAAATCATCATCTTCAATAACCTCTAATCAACATAAAACAAAATCAAAGGGTAAGCAATAAATAGTCAAAGACATGTGATAAATAAATGATCTACGCTTAAGCTATTTCGACGTATTTTTTTTTACTTACGGTAATATCTGTTTCTGTCTCATATTTTCTCCTCATCTCAAGTCTATATCAATCAATGATTCCATGTCTTGACAACAAGAGGACAAAAGATGTAACTAATCCATTAACGTGCGTACTACGCTTATTCTCCAAACAAGTTACGAACCTATTATAGATACAAATACAGTTGTTTTTTACCCTTTTCTTAATGACTTTAATGTATATCTATATATATATATATATGCTAAAATTAAAACATTTTCTTTCTTCTAGGTTTTCTTAATTTTATAAATAAATTAAAAAATTTTATAATTCCATCGAAAAATAAACTTGTACATTCAACAACATCAAAAGAAATGCCACCAACAAATACATTTGATCAATATTCAACATCGTACGATATTCCATCATCAACAATAACAACCAATAATACAACATCCATTCCATTTACATATTATCATCATTCACCAATAAAATCTAAATATTATACTCAACAAAATCATGTATCTTATGTAACTAAAGCAACTAATTTTGAAAAAATTTCTGCATGGCTTGATCATACAGAAATGATGAAACATGACCGACCATATTTTGATGAGTTATTGTTTATTGATGAAATGCAAGAACAATCAATATCACCATCTCCTATTGAAATCGATTATCAAAGTAAGATCACTTTTCTTTTTCTTTTTTTTCTTTCTACGTTCACTTGAAGTAAAAAAAAACACTTCAATATATGATATATTCCTTTTGCCATTTAAATAATATCACATATCGCACTTATATTCTTTGGACGTCATTCATTTCTTTCTTCTTTTTCTCTCTCGCGAATATTCGACCCGTTTTAACATCGACAATTGACTCATATCTATGGGTGTTGATAGTGTGATATACAATAAGACATAAATGTTTGTTGCTTGACTGCCGTATATGTTTGTGTCTGTGTGTTAGGAAAGAAAAGAAGAAACATATAGAGAAAGAGTAGGAGAGAGCGCAGTGAAATAAATGAAAAGCAAGTACGTAAAAATGAAGATGGATAAAGAACGCGGAGCAAAAGAGAAGAAGAAGAAGACGAAGCAAGGTGAAACGAATAACATAATTCACGCACAAAATCAAAATTGTATTCGAGGGTTGTGGTGCTTGTTGAAAACGTCAGTCAAGGCAAGGCAAACAACTTAACAGACGTAAGTTATAATAACTGATCTTCTTTCATTCTTTCAATAAAAAGTTTAAAAAAAAGGTTTCTAATTATAGAAACAAGTCTTTCGATCAACTCACTTAAAAAATTTCTTTTTTTTTTTGTTCGGTTCTCTTATCAAATTCCACAGTATCAAATTAATATTCTATAGAAGTGTATTGATTTCATCAAAGTTAAACATAAACGGTTGTCTTTTTCTTTTTTCATTCTGATGATTTACCTCTTGTTATGGTAACGACTAAAAGTGTTTGCTTTAACTCATTAGAATAACTCATTCATCTATGAATCATGCAATGTCTCAAACTTTATTCTCTTTTAGTTTTTTTTTTTTTCTCCCACTCATTCTTTTCTATTATTATTCAATATTGCGTATGTGAAAGATTTGTATACGAAATTCGTTTATGTGTACACTTTTTATTTACATTTATTTTCTTATTCATTATTAGACTTCCTCTCTCCTACTCTTCTAAACCACCTTCTCATTTTTTTTTCTCTTACCTTTATTTTCATATTATAAACATTAATAGTCTATAAGAATAAAAAGAAAAGAAAATCGTATTTTATAGTAACAGTACATTTATTATATATTTTTAGTAATCATGAAAAAGATTTCATCATCTATTAAAACACCTAAACGAAGTACATCGTTGGTTGCTACATTAAATCGACCAGTAATTGAAAAAAAACAATATGACAGAGCAGTTTCTCCTACAGCATCATTCACATCATCGATTCTTACAAAAGGAATGTTTGAAAGAATGACACCACAAAAACCTTCTCATCAATCTCGTACAAATCTCACAGATGAACAAACAACCAATTTATTAGTAAAACCAAATCGTCGTCGTGCAATTGATTTTTCACGACGTCGAACTGTTGCTAGTTTAACTGAACAACATTATATTAATAATCATAATAACAATAATAATAATGATAAAGAAAATGTTCCAATCAATCATCGACAACAAATCTACCGGTTTTCTCCTTCAACATCTACTAATATTCCAACAAAAAAATATTATTTTCATCCAAAACCATCTGTAAAAAATGAAGATATATTAATGAATTCATATGGATTAACACTTCTTCAACAACAACAACCTATACAGCAACGACAATCTCTATCTTCTATTGTAATGACACCGAAAATTCCTGACAATTCTTCAATAAATTCATTACATAAACAACAAAATCGTCGATCATCTATTCAATTACCCCAACAACAATATTCATCTGATTCATTGGATGATTTACTTTGTGATCGTGAAGTAGAAAGTTATTTTTATCCACATAGACGACAATCTCCTACTTCTGTTCCGCAACATGTTTATATTAATTTAGAAACGCCATCCAATTATTATCCACCACCACCACCTTATATTCATGGTACACTGTGTTGAATACTCTTTTATCATGTATTTTCTCTATTTGTCATTTATATTGTAAATACAAAAAAAAGGAATTTAGTCATATTCAACATGTTGATTTTGTTCCTTGTAAAGTGAAGCATTATAATTACTACAATAATTGGTTCTCAGGAAAAATATTTCCATTAAAGTATTCAGTCAATATAGGATTTATGAAGAGCCTGATAATATTATATTCTTGAATAAGTGTTATATTTTTTCAATGAGCATCTACGAATGAGTAAAATAATTTTCTTTAGATGAAATATTTCATGAAATATCAATTTAACATAAACTGACACTTAAATAATTGAAAATAAATGAATTTTGAAAATATAATTTGTATTTTACTTAATAGCACAATAAAGAATACAACAGTAAGACTTAATTTCATATTTACAGATAATAGTAATCATAATAAATTGTTGCCTATTTCTACCTAATTCAATTATCAATCAATTCATTACATACTATTCATCACAGTTAATTATTCTAAATTCTTTTTTAATCCATAGTTTAATTGAATTTAATCAATTACTTATTCGACATAAAACAAAATACGCAAAAAATAACTAAACATATGAAATATAAAATTCAAATCGATTTAAAAATTTCTATTAATTTCTGTGTTTGATTTATCAAGAAAAATAAATCGTCGAGAATTAAACTGTCATGTTTGATTTAGATGAACTTGTAGAAAACATATAAAAATCTATTCAATCATTTTATGAATGATCAAAACGAGTTCAAGTTTAACTCGTGAAGAATTCACTGAACAAAGTTTTACTATTTTCAAATTTTGATTACTAATCTTGAAAAATCTTCTTTCATATATGCCATAAAAGTTTCATTTAAGTTTAAATCAAGTGCAAAAAAAAACAGAATAGTTCAATTGAATGAATTCTTTTATTATATGACTAATGTATTTCGCATGACTACGAGTATTTCTAATTAAAAAAAAATGGAAAATCATATTTTTCTTTTTCTTTCTAAAGCATTAGAATAATGATGAAAATATGCAACATTTGAATCATGCAAAAAAACACTTAATGCATAAGTTAATTTCGTTTTAAGAATAGAATCATTTTTTTACGACCATCATCATACATTGCTTTCATAGAAGATATAACATTCTATGAGAATTTCTTATAGATTAATATTGGCATGACATAGATAATGATGAAAAAAAGATTGCATGGCTTCCATTGGTAGCGAAAAGTTTGAACGAATTTGTAAAAGAAATATAGTGATAATCATAATGAACTTACATGATGTGACGAAATCTGTGGATTCTCGAGAGAATCTACCCACAATTTGATTTCTTTTTTGTCTATATAGGTTTACACTATTTGTAATCAACTTTTGTAATTCTATGCCGTACGTTGAAATCAAGCACCATTTTATGGTCCGTAGCGGTTCAAGAATTAATTACGATCGCTCGCTTCGCGCTCTACTATATGCAGGTGAGTCTCAAGTTGACATTGATTCTATATAATAAAAATCAATGATCATATTAGTAAAATGTTACAACATTAGAAAACGTTTTATTTTTATGGTGACTACAAGGTTAATTAAATTAGATAGTTCTAATGTTTATAAAAGCAACATGTCAGATTAATCGAAGTAATTTATGAAGTGTAAAAGCAGGATGTACTACACAGTATTCTAATGTTATGAAGATTAGTATTCATTAACAAAAACGTCTCGCAAACAAATTATCCGTCAATTAATGTCAACCAATCAAATAAATTAGTATTTGTAATTTAAACTACTAATTTTAGTCAATTATTTATACTGTTTCATTTGGATAATACTACTACTACGTAAGAGACCTATAAATATTTAGCCTATGCGTTATCCTTCCTAGGTTATCATAATCTTCATCTCTGAAAAGGTATTTCAATATGAGACTTTTTCATAAGTAGCTTTCATGAATTTGAGAATGACCGGAAACTTTCAGCTTAAAAATATGTACTTGTCTTGAGATATCGAACGCTCAAAATATTGAGCTTTCTAATCTTTCCTTAAGACATATGATCAGTTTTGAATACTGAGTATCTTAAGAAGGAGAAGGGCAGAGCATATAGACGAACTCTTATCGACTTCTACTAATTTCATCGGTGCTTACTTATGAGCGAAATATTCATTTCATTGTCAAATCACAATTTAGGATCTTCTCTCATTAGTGCAATTAACATTTTACGTCGTCTTCTGTATAGATGCGTAGTATCATTGAATTAAAGAAATGCTCGACTTGTATTTCTTGTCTAAAAGAAAGTTATAGAACATTTTTATTTCTTAAAACTTCGTGAATTTGTCTAAACAAAATAGAGAATCCTAAAAGTTTATTTTTTAAATAATTATCAAATTCCACTGTCTATCAATTAATAGAAAAAAGAATATGTAGTTAAAGTGAAAAAAAACTTTTCAATTTGTTACTTGGATATCAAAATGATTTAATAGTTTAGATTGCGATAAACTAAATCATAAACTCAACACTGTGTATATTTATACTATAAATAAAAAGTACAAAAAAATTCACACACACACAAACAGATATAAATATTTGACAAACTAAAATTAAAAACAACTAAAGAAATCCTATTAATTAGTTATATAAAATTATTTTCCGGTGTAAGAGCTACTAATCTTTGTATCTGACTTTCTAATTGTTTACGTGCTCGTTTTTCTTCTTCAATTTCTTGTTGAAGTGTTTTATATGCTAGACGAAGTTCACTTATCATATCGTACATTGTTTGACGATCACTACGCAAAATCAAAACAAAAAAAAAAGAATTAAAATTAAAATAAAAAAAAACTAAATATTCAATTACATATTCGTGTTTATTATAGATGAATTTGAAATATTTGTATGATTAATAATTCCGTGAATTGAATTTCTTTTCTTTGATATCACAGTATTTAAATTAGTAATAGCTGTTCCAGTATTAGTCGTTGTTATACAATAACCTTCAATAATCGACAGTAAAAGTGCATCACCTTCACTTGTTTCAACTAATAAAAATAAATAAATCAATAAGATAATATGAGAATTTATTCGAAAAACAATTCTTCACCTCGTTTAAGAAATTCATTTGCTTTTGATTTTTTCATTGTCATAAATCGTCTAAGTGTTCGATTAGGTACACTTTCATTTGAATTTACTGATGTATCATTCATACTTATATTAGATAATTGTATTGGTGAAGCAGTTCTAGCTGTTAATGTTGTTATTGAAGGATGAATTCTTAATGGTGAATGTGGACGAAGACAACCTTTAGACCATGTTGGATTTTTAATTGAAAGTTTTAAAGTAAGATTTTCAACATTTGTCGGCATGGATTTTGTTCCATTTAATGATAATGCTGGCTAAAAAAAAATTTTTTTCTATAAAATAAAAAGCAAAATAAGTTAGTTAGTGAATTACTTTTGAAATCGATTGTTGAGATTGAGATTTTGTTGTTAATAATAAACAAAATTTTTCACACCATTCATGATATTCAACAATACTTGGAAATGATATAATTAATGATGGATTTGATGGAACTAAAGATTTCTTATTGAATTTATTAATATTCTAGTTTTTTTTTTATTAATCATACCATTTATTTTCAAAGCACGTTTGCTTATATCAGTAATTTTACTAATTGTTAGTTGACTTATTTGCAAGCGATTCTATGATACAAAAAAAGAAAGTATTTTTTTTATTTTAATTGAATATTTTATCAATCTACTTCTATATAATATTCTTGTTGATTAGATGAAGTTGAAAGAAGAACTAAAGTTGATGGATAAAGAATTGCTATACGTTCACATAGTATTTGAGTAACACTATTTTCTAATAGAACATTGACAGCACTTAGACATAATGCATCTCCTAATGATTTTAATGACTAAAAGTAAAAGATAATTTTGTTGGAGAAAAAAAAATAATTTATTCTTTACTTCAGAATCCAATCCATGAATAGTGCTATGTAGAATATTAAGTTCCCATTCTTTACGTTTTCTCCATCCAGCTCCGGATGTCTATAAAATAGTATTTAAGAATAATAATAAAAATTTATTTCTTAGATTTCTTACTGTTAATTCAGCATAATATTCAGTTGCTCGTTGTGTATTCCCACGATCGATATGAAATTCCTTAAATAATATAAATATGTTTATGCTTTGAAAATTTACAAAATTTTACTTCAAGATTGTATAAATATTCTTTAAGTGAACTAACATATTTATCTAAACGATTGATTGGTAATGATAAATTTTTAATTAATTGTATATAAGTATTATTATTATCATTCGATGGATCAATTTTTGATAGAGCATTCAATATTCGATCTCTATTTTATATTGAAAATAATAAATGCAATTAAAAAAAAAACGGAATAGTTCGTATTGTTCTTACTTATTATGATTAATTAAAAAAAGTATTTTAGAATGTTGATAACAATAAGCTTCAAAAATAGATTTATAAGTAGGAGCTACATGTAGAAATAGACCACCAATACAATGTTGAGTTCTAAAACATAAAGTCAGATACGAAACTTACAAAAAAAGTGTGTTTGATTTTTTACTTCGTGGCATCACGTAACATATGAGAAAGATGACGATGAAATTTGATTAATTCATCAAGTATATGAGCATCCAAATGAAGAGAAGGTTGATTGGATCTATGATTATAAAATAGAAAAAAAAACAACATAATTGATAAATATTAATGATTTTATTTTTTTTTACGTTGAAAGAGTATGAGCTAAAGGTTGAAGTGTTTTTGAAATAAAATCATCCAATTCGGATATATAATGTTGTTCACTTTCAAATAATGTTTCAATGATCTATTTGAATAAATAAAGAAGAATTTACAATTTTATGTGTTTATAATATTAAGAAATATGTCTACAAATATTTTGCTGAGTATAGGATATTTTTAGATTTTTTAGTTAATTTACGAGAAAAATAGTTTGATTGTCGAATCGATAAATAACAGAGTTCGTATTAACAGATGTCGAAATTAACTTTTGATCTTACGGAGAAAGTTTTTCAACTGATAAATCGCTTTTGAGTCAAGACTATTTATATCATGTGGATTCTAATGAGCTATAAATACTCTGAAAAGAGTTCGAGTCCTCAGCTTTTTCCTACTGAGATAGTACACTTTTACTATGTTCTCTAAAATTAATGTCATGATCCCTCTCTCTCAGAAACATCAGAAAAATTCGTTTTCGACTTGAATCTTGGCATGAAGATAGATCTCAACGATAATAGTTTATTCTTCCATCCTGAAAGAAAAATATCGAATCTGCTGGTGTATATGAACAGTAACAAAGACATGCTTTTATCATAGCTATATCTTAGGAGAGTAACAACGAAAATATCTAACATTTCCACAATAAACGATTCTCATTAAATTCTCTCTCTGGATACTGTTAACAAAGAAACTTCTACAATTGCTCCCTTCCAATTTCAATGATTTTTTTACCAATAAATACTATATATCGTGTTCTAATGAAAATTCTAAAAAGATTTGATTTCCTATTGAGATTTGACTAAACTACTGAGCTTTTTTCTACAGATTCAGATTTTCGAAAAACGGATATTGTCGAATTTTGATCTAAAAATTTGTACATTGAGAGAATTCAAGTATACTAGATTCCATTAAAAAAATGTAGAAATTTTGAAAAAAATCTCTTCGAGATAAAATTTTGTTCAAAACTTGTAAATTCTTTTTATACACACTAATCTAGTTGAATTTCTTGTATGCACAAAGTTTCAGTTCAATATTGGAAAATACCAGTTTTCTTAAAATCGCGGTTCTGTCGAAAAAACCTCGATAGCTTAGTTGAATATCAATAGAAATTCAAATTCTTCTACTGTTCTTATTAGTACAATATGTTATATTCATAGGCACAAAAAAATTGTTGAAATGGAAGAGAGCAGCTGAAGAAGTTCTCTTGTAAGTTGAAATTCGAAAATAAGTTTTTCTAATGTTTCTGAAGAAAATCACAGCATTAATTTAACCAATACCATAAACATGCAGTGTCTCTGCAGCAATTAGTCAGGGACACAAACTCATTTGCAGGATGCTAATAGCTCCTTAGGATCTACATGATGTACATAGCCGCGGCAAAACATTGATTAATCAGTTGAAGGACATTTCTCGTTAAACACGAGATATAAGAAAACATGTTTATCATCTGACACTTCATCATTAATAACACATCATTGGACTATATTAAAATATTCAGCCAACACTAATGTATTATTATTGATGTGGTAAATTTTCGAATTCCTTTTATTATTTAACTCGTTATTTACATATAATTATTTTCTTAGGCATTTCTAATTATTATTTATTAACAGTGAAGCTCATTTTTAAGGTAAAACTTATCAGTAGAATTAAAATATTCTTATTTATTTCTCATACTTTTCATTTTTAAAAATCTAACGAAAGAAAGAAAAAAAGGTCATAAATTTATCTCTATATTATTGAAATTTTCTTTATAATCAAATATTTTCATTTTTAATTAACTAACTGTTTCTCGATGTTGATGCATTTCGGCATACTGTTGTGAAATCGTACTGTGAGTTGATGGTGTTGAATCTAAAGATAAAAATTATTTCTCATAATTTAGTCAATATACAGTCTATTCTAATTTATTTAATAAAAAACAATTTTTAGAACAATGATTTTTATTTTCATGAAAAAATATTCAATTTTTTGATAGTGATCAAAACTAAATATCAGTTCATGTTTTGTGCTAAGTACATACATGTTTTACAAGTAAATAGTCTGCATGATATACAACCCGACGATTTCATTGTTGAATGATTACCATAATAACTATGTTGTTACTATTGTAGAAGAATGATAATGAGAAAGACTCTAGTCGAAGGCATACAAGACAGCTAACTCGATTCTTTTTCTGTCAGTTTGATGACAGATATCAACAATATTAGTTATGTTTATTTATAATAGTAACAACATTGATTGTATATTCAACAGACTATCAATCAGTCAGTTAATGGATTGTTTTAGTTGTATTACCTGTTTTCTTAACAAATTGTTCAACATAATTTGATGGAAACCATCCAGTTTTATTCTTTAATGTACCTTCCCACCAACCACCTTCAATTGGAGCTTGTGTTAAAATAATAATGTCATTTTTAGAAAATGATAACTAAACATAAAAATTTTTATTAAGACTTTTTTTTCATTGTGATTTTTATTAGACATGTCTATCTTTCTTTTTTTTTTGTCATAATGACATGAGAATAAAAAAATTCTTTTTATTTCTATAAATAACATGAAAAGACAACCTACTTCATCTGTATTTTGTGCTTTAAAAGCATATAGAGCACTAACTAAAACTTTGCTGTTAGTACTCTCTTGTTCCATAATCTGAAATAAAATATTAAATTGTTGCTTGACTTGATTATCTATTTTTAAAAATATTTATTATTAAAGCGAACTAAATGTACAATAAATATGCGGAAAATGTTAATTTTGATTACAAGACAACATTTTTCAAGAAAAAAAAAAGAAATTCAAGACAATAACAACAGTTAAAAATAAATAAAGATTAGAATTTGAATGCTGGCTATAAAAAAAAAGAAAAAGAATCGTATAACAAAAAAAATTTGTTATCGTTCACTTGGCTTTATAAAACAGATGACATGTCCCATATCTAAAAACAAACAACAAGAGCAAATTATATTGATTACATAATTAAATTGGCATGTTCCACAATCGAATCGCGTTTAGAAAATATAGAAGACACACCAATAAATTCTATGTAATAATATTAGTCAGACGTTAGGTCGACAAAAAAATCATTTTGAATTGTAATAATAATAATATAAAAAGAACGATATACATTCAATTTGTCATTTCGTGGCCTGCAATGTTGTTGAAAACAATGCTTTCCATGAAAACTAATCATATTATAAGAAAAATTCTTTTTTATATGATTTTCTATCCTTTGTAGAATATCAATTAATTAGTAAAGTTTAACAAACAAATCATGATAATATACCAATTTCTTCCTTATTGGCTATAGCTAAAAATATAGATACATTTCACGTTCTTAACTAATCAATACATACAAACTCGTATTCGTTTTTTAATAAATGCACCCTATTGAACTTTGTATATTTGAAAATATACAATAACATAAATTCTCTAATTATTATAATTTGTTCAATTGATATATTAAGTTTTCTTTAGATCTTCAGCAACTATTTTAGGCAATAGTGGCAGCGCGACTGAATCGTTTTGAGTTTTGGCTCAACCGACTGGCTTACATCAGAGGTGAAACTGATCACTAATAGAGCGGTTATTACCAATGAGTCTTGTTTATTTTTATTTTTTGCTCGTCTTATCTCATCGAGGATGTGTAAGGAAACTTTATTGAAAGTTAACTACGTCAAGTATCACCATCCATAGATATCATAGTAGAACATGAGAAACATAATTTGAGAGAAGATTACATAATATATTCATAAGATCTATAGCATTTGAAAACGGAATATCTATAGGAATGAACTTGAAAACACTTTTTTCATATTAAAATAATCAATAAATTTCATGTAGAAAAAAACAATGATTTTTATCTTGTCTATCGAATTACTTCTAATTTAACTTACTCTAACAGTTCGGTCAGTTCCAACAGTCATCATAATCTTTTTTGTTTGATTATAATCCATTTTAATTGTTCCTTGACGTATATCATAAAAAGAAGCAAGTGGAACCGTTCTATTCAAATCAATATAAAACATTATCATCATCATTAAAAAAAACAAAGAATATTCAAAATATTTACTCCTCATTTTTTAATGCTTTTCCACAGTCATTACAAATACGTTGAGTAGTTTCATAACCTATTAATGGAAGTGATGTACGTGTTTGTGAACATTCATGACATACAGCTCGACCACATCTACGACAATGATGCTATAAGAGAAAAAAAAAAGAAGAAAGCAATTAACATTCTAAATTAAATCACAATCATCTTACTTGTCTCAATCCAAGTTGTTTTTGTTTCCACATTGCCTGTATATTCCAAAAAAATGGTAATTGGCATATCTGGCAATGATCACTTTCTAACCATTTTGGAGTTTCATTACGTTTAACGTTCATTGGCCATACACCAATATTACCATCAGCTGAACATGTAATTAAAAGTTTACGTAATTTATCATATGATATTCCAACAAGACGATCATAATGACCATTTAATTCTAGAGCAACACCTTTATGTGTTCCAATATCCCAAACAACAATTGATGTATCAAAACTACCCGAAAATAACCATTCAACTTCCGATTCCCAGAAAAGCGTTTGAACACTTCCTGAAAAGAAGTTTTTGTTTTACATATGAATTCATTTTTTTTCTTCTACCTGTATGACCAGATAATGTTGTTATTATTTGAAATTTATTATCAGTATTTATTCTAAGAAAATGTATATTTCCATTTGAATCACCAACAAAACATTGTCGAGATAATTCATCAAGTGCAAGTGACATAGCCCATGATGATAATGTATAATTTCCACGTGGATGTTGATGATTTTCATCTGATGATTTTGTTGAATACCAATTGAGCTTTTTATCACGACAAACACTTAATAAAATTTCATTATGTAATGAAAAATATAATGCATGTATACGATTTTGATGACCTAAATAAGTACATTGAAGAGTAATTTTGTTAAAATCTTCTGAAACAAGAAACTCCTTAAAAAGATAAAAATAAAATACAAATAAAATAATTATGATAAAATCTAAATTTACATGAAGAAGTCCTGTATCACAACCACAAAAAAGACGATGAGATGTTTCATGATAAAAAAGTGCTGTTGGTGCACCTAGAATAAAAACAAATAAACAATATTATCTATCAATTACAATAAAAAAATTCTTGAATTACTTTCTAAAGTATAACAAACGGATGGCCAATATTTACCAGTTTGTCTTTTTATCCAAATACGTAATGTTCTAAATATTGATCATTGAATTAAATAAGTAAGTAAGATTTAATCAAAAATAAATAAATAAATACCTGTCCTCAAGAGCAGTCAATAGGCCATCTTCTGTTGTAAGTAATAAAGCATCATTTACATTTACTTCAATATCAATTTTATTTAAAAGTTCAGGTCGACGATTTTTGACAGTATTTTCATTAATTGCTGCAGCCATAGATGTTTTTTTTATAGGATTTATATTAGTGATCACTGATCGATTAACTAATTCCTGTTTATGAATGTGTACTATTGGTTTGATTCTAAATTCAATCAGAATCAAGTAATAGATTTTATAGATGTCTACATGTGTTTAGATGAGAATTTTAATGAAGTTAAAACGCATCTAGATATTATTGTCTATGTTATATAGATTTTTTCAATTAACAGAAAAACAATAAAATTTCTCAATTGTTTTTATACGGTATATACATAATTGCATGGAATTTATTGTTCTGTTCTCAACTCAACATTGTAATCTATCATAAAAAGACTTCCATCGATGTTTTCAGTTCGTTTGAGCTGCAACGCAGCTTATATCGAAAATTTCACATGAAATTCTGGAACATACATCCAAAAATGCAGAATTATAATGAAGAAATTTGTGATGTTCTTGAATATCGCGGTTGAGCAATTGAATGGATGTTCAACTTATAAAATTGGCGTTAATAAAGGAAACTTTTTTAAAAAGCCAAGTGGCAAATTTTATGCAGCTTTAAATTCTCTATCGTTTGCCATATCAGCAAAATGGTTTATTTTTGAATAACACATGAAAGAAAGCAATACTGAAATTAAGTGCTATTTCATCTTACGCATCTGATAGCAGTCCTACAATAAACTTATGAACTTCTTTCTAACGAGTAGATTCGAATAAATAAGCCTTGTAGTCTTTTCTCAATATCTATATCGATTGTAGTAACTATGGACCAAGTTTCGTCTCAAAATCTTTAGCGTTTATTTTTCTATAAGACAATAGACATATGTGTATAGTAGAAGTAAAAGCAAGACAGCTATTGTACAAATACTGCGAATCTATAATTTTACTTACTTTCAAGCAAAAAATCCGATTTTCTTATATTAATGTGCTCTCATGTTGAGATATGGTAAAGTCAAAATAATCTTTCTCTATACTGTTTTCGCTTTCCTTAAAGAAACCATTTTTTTACCGTAGGGTTTCATATTCTTGTAAAAATTTGTGTAACTCAGCCATAAACTCTTTGTTTAGAATATAAATGTTTTGTTTTTAAAGTTACTGAGTCAAGCTATTGAAGTCTATTTAATTCCCTTAGAATCTCTGCCAGCATTTTTGATGGATACGTTCTTTTCTATATGTCAGAAGTACAGTATTCTTGATTCTACTCGAGATAGTGCTTTATTAATGAGAAGAAAGCGTAAATCAGTTTGTTAACTTATGCTTGAAAGTTGTTGACGACACATGGTCGTAGCGTTTGTGTAAAAACAGTTTTGCTTTTTACTTCTTTGATACGTACAAGTTAAATGATCATCAAACAACCTATACTAATCATATTATTGTATTTCGTTAAATATCACAACTATTGAGTTTTACGGCTCAGATATTAATTTTCGGCTTCAGCTCAATAATATTAAAAGTATTATGTATTTTTCCCAAAGGAGCGACTGAACAATATGCAACACAGTTACATGTTAAGTAACTCTTGGGATTCATTTTCGCTTTAGTTACATGACAGATGAATTAAGTTCACAAAGTAGAAAAGCACTTTCGAAACAAGACTTATCTAATTCAGTAAGTCCTATTGAAAGTACAACAAACCAAAAAAGAAAACAGGTTTGTGCTCATGTACTTTTGTTCTTGAGTTATAGTTGTTTTAGCAAGTTTTTCAATAAAATGCCATATTTCACCTTCAACCATTTTCCAAATGTACTTTTCAAGTCGAATATAGCGCAAGTTCTTACTAGAAATAGTTCATTGTCCAAGTGTCCAAACTTCTACTATCTCTCTCATCCCGAGATATCTATATTGAAAATTATGTTATGCGGAAAATTAAGCTTGGTTTTATTTCTTTATATCTGAGAATAGGATATAAAAGAAAGTTTGATACTTCGACACGGAACTAGTCATATTGAAAAGTTTACTTGTACAAAATTTAAACTCTCTAGACAGTTTTGAAGATAATTCACAGCATTTTGCTGTAAAAACAACGAAAATATCAATAAAAATCAAGAAGGACGATCTATCGGCACAAAACCTTTTCAACTTTTTCTTAATTTAAAATTATATTTATTCTGTCCATTATTTTCATGTTTGTTGAAAAATCAAAAATAAATACTAAAATGAACCAAAAACCACCTAATTTTAGATTTTAATCGTTGTTCTATTATCCATTTGTTCTTGAACAATTTTCCACAACGTTCGTATATTTCCAGCACCAAAACCTGTTGCACCACGTCTTTCAATAAATTCCAAAAAAAGAGTACCATTATTAAAAATTGATTTTGTAAATATTTGTAAAAGAATTCTAATAAAGACAAAAAAAACTCAAAAATTTTTTTTTACTCTTTGTTGTTTTCTATGTTTACTTCTGATGTGATTTTGATCTGTCATAATGATCATCTTCATCATCCAATAAAATTCCTAATTCAGCAAGTTCGTTAACATCTTCACCGGCTTCTTCAATCACATGACCATTATTTTCCTTTATTAAGAAGAATCATAATTAAATTGATGCAAATATTAATTTTATTCGTACTTTGAGATAATAATTTGTCAACGGAGATAAAAATTGAGCACCATTTGCTTTTGTTATACGTACAACATCTTTTATATTATCTACACATTTGAATCCAAGATGTTGAACACCAGCTTGATTTTTATGTTGAGCAATAAAAATTGTTATTTGATCCATTAAACCTTACAAAAAATATCTAAACTGTTTTTTGTAAAATTTATTTATATGATTTACTTGAATCGCTTTCAATTAATGATTCAGCAAAAACCAATTTTAGATTAGACGTTTTCCCATTAACACAAGCTGTTTCAGCACATTTCCAATATTCACTAGCGAATAAACGCATACCCATGGTACCAACACGTACAGGAAATCCTTGAAATGGATCATCTTCCCTAAAAATAAACAATAAAATTAGTATTATTGATTTTAATTTTTATTAAGACCTTACTGGTTAACTGTAAATCGTTTCATACCGAATACTTTTTCATACCAAGCAACACTTGCTAATGCTGAGTGTTTTGGCATTGCAAATGTAATATGATCGATACCGTTAATCATTGATTGAGTAAATGCATTTTGTTCTGAGATAGATACTTGTACAAAACCTGGTAAGGAAGGTCCTGAATACTGAGATGTATCGATCAATGTATGTACCACATTTCCAATGCATGATTTAACACAAGCATATTCGATCGATCCATATTCATCAATTGCTTTTCGATGTGATACGAGTACCTTAATGAAAAATCAAAGATTAATAATTCCTGTTAATATCAGTAGATGAGACACAAGAAAAAAAGATGTTTTATCCTTGCTGATTTGATTGAGATTATGATTGACAAACCTTCTATAGATTTGAGTATGAAACATGATGAAATTATTTCCATGATGAACGAGATTATCTTTCGTCACCTGTGTCATAAAATGCGGCAATGTGCTTTCGTACAACGTAATGACATTGCAGTCTTTTTGTCAATGTCGATAAATGTATGGAAATAAATAAATGAAATTTTATATCCCTGTGGAAAAAATTAACTAAACTTGATATTTTTAAGATATCATGGCTAAAGATTATATATTCTGATAGAATGCGAAATTCTCTACAACCGTACATATGTATGTTTTGAATTGCATTTGTTTGCTATAATAGAAATTCACCAACAGTAAAAGCATGCTCATTGTAGATTGTCTGAGAATGCATTTTTTCTTTGTTTTTCAAATTTATTTTTATATAGAAATAAGCTATATGATCAACGTAAGCAAATTTTCTAAAAGTGTGCAAAATTACCTATCGTCCTGTGCGTGTGCCAGTTTTGACTTTCAACTATTTGATGACACATATTTCGAATATTATTAAGATACTTACGTATCATATTCGAAGACCAATAATTATTCAAACATCTTATTTGATTGCTAGATAACGGCGCGTGGGCAATTAATTGAGTTATGTGAAGAAATCGAGGATATATTAAAAAGATTCAAAATATTATTCATCGAACAATTGAACATTAAGACTAGTACATGCACAGAACAACAGAAAATTTTGCGTACTTTTAGAACATTTGCTTACTTTGATCACATGGCTTGTTTTTATATAAAAATAAATTTGAAAAAGGAACAAAAAATACATTTTTAGACAATGTGACGATGAGCATTCCTTCACCGTGATTGGATTTCTATTTTAACGAACAAGTAGAATTCAAAAACCATTTATTTTTACGAGAGAATATGTTTAAAGGAATCAAAGACTGTATCAAATACTTAAGTCTAGCCTTTTCTTAATTGATTTGGTGAGCACTGCCTTTAGATCTTTGTTCAATGCATTGTCATCCAAGATAGTTTCGACAAATGAAGAACAATTTATAGAATGATATGAGAAGATCACGGAAAAAAATCTCTTACTTGTACATCAGAATTCCTATCAAGAATTGACTGAATAGATTTAACATGGAGAGCAATATTGAACACAGTATCACGATCAAGAATAAAATCACGCGCGGTTTCATTAAGAATTATTGAAGTTAAAATATCATAATGATCACCATTAAAATTGATTTTATTGTTTATATTTGAATTTGACACTGATGAAATTAATAATTGACATTCACAAGATTTAAGAAACCATTGAGAATAATTGAAAGTAGTACGTTTAGCAATTAATTGAAAACCATATACACGTATAAATAAATCAAGTAAATAATCCGATTGTATTGTATGAAATTCGATATGATGAAATCCGCTTGTTTCATCAGACATGCTTATAAAGGATATAATGAAGTATAAAGGATATAATGAAGATAAAATACTTCAAGAAAGAATGGCATTGATATTATACAGCAGTTAGTATCGTTTTTTTTCTTTTCACTGTTCTACAGTTAGTATCGTTTTTTTTTTCTTTTCACTGTTCTATGTTCTACAGTTATAAAATGCTGATAAAATTAAAAGAACAACCTTGTAACAAGTGAGC